TTTAATTATTTAATAGTTTGAGCTTTTAATTTTTCGATCTCGTCTTTAAGAATATCCAACTCAAGTCTTTCGTAACTCAGCACCTCCATCTCTTCTTCAGCCATCCTTCTAACCTGCCACCAACACTGATCCATCTCGCGTAAACCTTTCCAAATTGTAGCTTCTTCGCTTTCCGTATCATGTGTGTTTGCCAAAACCTGCAATGCTCTTAGCCATTGCGATTCGTAGTGTCGTTGCGCCCTTGTGGTGGAATCGAGTTGAGCTTTCAAACTATTCACTTCAGCTTGTAAACCTTTTATTGTATCATTAATTGGATTGTTTTGCATTAAATTCTTTTCTTTTTGTGCATATTCAGCTTCCAAACGAGATATCGTTTCCCTTCTTCTTTTCTCGTGTTGTCGATCTAATTCTAGCCAACGTCTCTGAAAATCTTTTTCTGCTCGCAATAAACTTTCGTCCCTTGTTTGAAAGTAAAGAATTGACTGCTGCAGTTGTCGATCTATTGTCCTCATTTGCTGAACTTTGGATTTGCTAAAACTTTGGCCTTTGGTATTTTTTTTACTAGAGGCAAGCACATCTCGCATTAATTTCATGTTTTCGCCTACTTGCTGAAACAGGTCCGTGCGAAATTTCGACAAAGGCTGCTCACAATCATCTCCTTCAACTTTTTTCTTGTTTGAAACTTTCGTATGTTGCGAAGACCGATCAGATTCTACTGTCGTGGATTCATCCGCGGATGAATGTAAATCATTGGAAACATCGAGAAGATCGGCGGTACTGTGTGACTTTGTTAATGTGGACCGATGTTTACTCCTTCCTTCAGACTCAATTTCCCCATAATCTTCAAGCCTTACCGAGACACTTACGTGACCCATTTCGCGTGATGTAGCCAATCCAACAGATTTTATAGGGGCTAATGTAGTGAATGTCTTGATGTCTGCTTTGGTCACTTCATCTACGGTATTTTGAGATAAAAAGACCTCCTCTAGACGCAACGTGGCTACTCCGACTTGAAAATTTTTTTGCTCATTATTTTGCCATATTTCCATGAGCAAGGGCACGTTTTCAAAATATCTTTGGATTCGCTGAGGTGTCATATTAACATCAATCGTACTTGTACCATTGGTTAATATTACGTCCGAATCGGCTTCTACATTAGGTAGCA